CTAATGGGCCAGTGTTTCTCAGCTTGGGAACCCCTTCTTTGACTGCTCTTTCAATCCCTGCCCACACCTCCTTCCCCAAGTGCAAATCCAGAGTGCTTCTGAAATTCTTTTCTTTCCTACTTCAAAACAGCTATTTCTGCGCTAATACAATATTTGGATGGAACAAGCTCAGTCTTGATTACTTCCTCCAGGCAGATTTTTCATACCAGGAAATTACCAGCATTCTTTTTCACTGGTGACATTCTTGAAAAAGATGCAAGATGTTTCCAAAGTGTTTTAAAAACCTGTACAGTTTTAAAGATGGCAAGGCATCTTGGAGGTTAAAAGAGGACTCATTTGCTCTCTTTCTTCCCTTCCTGTCTAATTAGCACTGTGGATTTTACTGAAGTCATTCTATTTACTCCATTTATTTACTCTTCAAATTTTTACGGTTTTCCTGGCAGAGAGTTGAAGTTCAAGAAAAAAGGGTGAATACCATTGGGCTGTTTCTCCCCTCTCTGTTAACACAAAGTCTTCTCTTGAATCACTTATGTTGGGGAATTCACAGAATTGCGGTGTGTGTCTATGAGCAAGTCCAGTCATGACCTCACTGGCCGTTTCTTTCCATCTGCTCACTCATGTGTACTTTAGCTTCTGGCTGCATCCATTTCCAAGGCTGTGGACCCCTCCTGACCTCCATATCTACTCTTGCCAGGCCCAGGTCCCAGTCTGTCTTGGATGCCATACTTTTTCTGAGCCCATCAATGTGGTTGCTTTGCTGCCTGCTTTAGGCTGGACACCACTTCCTACAGAAGCACATTTTCCCCAGTCCTTCCACCCCCATTACAGCTTGATCAGAATCGGGGGGTGCTGAACTAGAAGATGAGTCTGTGGCTATAGGCTCTCCTGACCCTTAGGCTCTCCCCTGTGGGAGATGCACAGGATGAGCTCGTTTGCCCTTGACATCTTAAGCTCTCCACCAAGCTCATTTCGCCTTTTCTCCCAATATCACAATATCTCAGTGTTTTAGGACTTCCAAATTAAAAAAAAATATAGGTAACACACATTCACGTGTGCACACACACCTCTGTGTACACACACACACACACACACACACACACACACACACACACACATCCATCCAAATGTGTACTGCTACTAAGAATGTATTCTACCCTCCTTTTTGTTATCAGGAGAAAGTTTTGGCAAGTTTTTTTCTTTTAAATTGACAAAAAACAGGATTTCAAGTGTTGTCTCCTTTTAGTATGTAAGTAAAAGTGTACTCCTTAATCTGTAGGCTTTTTATCTGTAATAACTTATAGTCTTTATGTAACTATAAGCAGCTTAACCAGCCTTGTCTCTGCCCACATTGCTACAAATTATTGTTATTGGCATCTGAATAAACTCTAAGTTAAGGAAAAGCATTTTTTAAAAAAAATTTTGTAGTGTAGTTTAGAGATGGTGATTTCTGATACTCAGTGTCAGAGGACACATGCACTTGTTTCATCATGTTTTAACACAATGAAATGTCAACCCATTTGTGTATCGTATTTCAAATGTCTCCTTTTGTGTGTGACTGTCTTCATATAAGGATGCTTTTTCTTTGTAAACCACCTGTTCTACTTAGTACTTACTCATGAAATCATTGATATACAGGAGAGATGAGCATCTAGTTACAGCAAGGTAAGGGTCTTTTGTTTAATCTACTGCCTTTGAAGACATTTTGATGCAGGAAGAAAATAAATTTAGAGTCAGTCCAAAGATTATCATTATAGCCCACTTCCTTCTTAGCCCTTTTTTGCTTGCTTGACTTCTTTCCTCCCTCCCTTCCTCCATCCCTCCCTCCCTCCTTTCCTTCCGTCCTGTGTGTATTGTGTATGGTGCATGCATGTGAGTGTGTGGGTATATGGGCCTGTGCATTCCCATGCATAGGCCTGAGCAGAACCCCGAGTACTCCTCTATTCTTCTTGCCTCATTGCTTTGGGACAGAGGCTCTCAATGAAATGGAAGCTCACCATTTGCCTAGCCTAGCTAGCCAGTGAGCTCTTGGGAATCTTCTATCTCCATTCTCCAATGCTGGGAATAAAAGCATGTATAATCGTATTTGGCTTTTCATGTAGGTGCTGTGGATTCATACTTAAGTTTTCATGCTTACAGCATAAGCATTCTTACCTACCTACTGAGAGCCACCTTCCTAGCACACTTTCCTACTTTTTTCAACTTTATCTGTCATTTTTTTAACCTTTCCACCTATATCTACCACTGTCTTTTGGAGCATGCCATCTTTTTCATCAAATTACCATATATAGTTCTATACTTTGGTATACACCAATGCTATAGCAGAGCACTGGGATAGCCAAGAGAGCCTCTGGATTCAAAGCTTGCCTTCATCAGCAGATGGCATTGTGACCTCAGTTCCACAGTGTACTAATGGTGTCACAAATAACTAGGAGGAAAGAATGAGTTACAACATATATGCTTAGAACAAATGTTTAGTGTTCTCTACCATCACCTCCATCATCATCAAATGTTTAGTGTTCTCTACCACCA